GGGTGCGGGCCGCTCAGTCCCCTGCAGCCAGGAGGCGAGGCCAGGCGGCGTGCTCTGCGGTGGGCCTCTGTATGACCTTGGGCCATGACCTTCCTCCCTGGCTCTGTCCCCATCTGTGCCACGGGCGGCTGGTGACCGAGGGTCTCAGGTTTGTGCTGACTCAGTGCCAGGCCTGGGGGCAGGGAGGACCCTGATGCCTGAGACACAGCTGTGCCCACAGAGTCCGGAGCAGGCCCTGGGGAACCAGAAACCAGGACCCTGGGGGCTCAGGGCTCCGGGCGGGGCCGCGGTGGGCCTCACACTCCCTCCCTGTGGGTCCCGTGAGGTTTCCAGAGCTTTGAGCTGCAGTTCAGCCAGCACACCGAGCACGTGCCAAGGCCCTGGGGCAGAGGGCCCGCCCCTCCTGCCCACTGACTCTGGGTGGGCGGCTGCCTACTGCCCACCTGCCCTGCTGGGCACTCATGGTCCTTGGGGGCAGGGGGGGCCAGGGCTGGGCCAGGTGCTGCTCCTGCAGAAGCTCAGGGAGTGAGGTGTGGCGCTCAGGGGTGCGTGGCCCGTCTCCAGGCTGGAGCTGCAGCTCAAGGCTCTCCAGCCAGACAAACTGGGCTTCTCGCAGGGGTTCCTCAGAGAGCCAGGGGGGCAGAGCCGGGGCCCTGTGCGTGGGGATTCGGGTCCCCCGGCGGCTCTCCCACTGCAGGGATCCCAGGCTGTGGGTCTGAGTGCCAAGTCTGACCCATAGAGGGTTTTTCATACATACATATACATACATATATATGCACATATATATATATACATATGTATATATATATACACACACATATATATGTCATTCTGTGTTTTTAAAAATTCAAATAATTTTCCAGCATTTACAAACCGAAACAAAGTCTATATTTTTGTTAAAAGGAAGGTCTGGCCACAGTGACCTGTGTCCCCCACGGCCCCAGTTACCTGACCTGAGAAGCAGCTGTGTCCTCCCCCCTGGCGTCCGCTCTGGTTCACATGCGGCCACTGCCCCATGGCACCCCCGGGACCCCACATGGCACCCCAGGCACCCCCATGGCACCCCAAGGCGCCCCCATGGCACCCTCCCGCCCAGCCTGTCTGGCCCATGCAGAGCCCGTTTGTTGCACATTATCACCTGGCCTGGATCTGTCCTTGGCATGGCCGGCTCTGTGGCCTGTGAGCTCTCAGCTCCCCATATGGAGTCGGGGTGAAGCTGAGCCGCCCCAGAGTCTGAGGGCCTGGAGTCTAATTCTGCAAGAGCCGGCGGGTGAGACCAAGGACATATCCCTGACCTTCTGGAGCCTCAGCCATCATCCGCGCAATGGCCCCAGGCTCCCAGCCGCAGGGAGCTGTTGGGACGCCCACGTGAGACCATAATTCGTGTAAACAGTTGTCTTCTGTCTGCCACATGGTAGCGATGATAATATGTATTATGGTTATCGTTAACCACATAATTTATGCGGTAACACGGCAATACATAACAATTACAATGTGATAACATGATTTATATGATAATTACGTGACATACAACATAGTAATTGTGCTACATCACATAAAGCGACGTGAATGAGAATGTAACAGCAGCAGCCAGCACGTGGGTGGGCTTCCTGGGCCGGCGCTGTCCTGGGTGCTGGACCCGACCTCACTCATCCATCCTCCCAGTGGACCTGGGATGTGGGTCCCATATCGGCCCCCTCACCCCCATCTCACAGATGATGCTGCTGAGGCCCAGAGAGATGAACATGCTTGACTGTCATCCAGGAGAAAGTGGCAGAGCTGGGACTTGAACCCAGGCCTCTGTACCCTTGGCACATACTCACCTGTATCCCAGACCCAGTCCCCGGCTTACCTGGTTCTGACCCAACTGTAGCATCCGGGCCTCCATGTCACCTGTATCCCAGGACCCAGTCCCTCCGCTCACCTGGTTCTGACCCAACTGTAGCGTCCGGGCCACCGTGTCACCTGTATCCCAGGACCCAGTCCCCCCGCTCACCTGGTTCTGACCCGTCTGTAGCGTCCATGGCTTGAAGCTGTCTAGGGTTTCCGTCCAGCTCGGTGCTGGGTCCCGGGCTCTGGACAACCCTGATGGCTGGGGCGGCGGAAGGCGGGGTGGTGTGCAGAGGCGGGTGACCTGACCCTCAGTGACATGACCTCCTGGGAGAAGCCAGGGGCAGAGGCAGATGGGGCATGTTTCCTGCAACTTCAAGGGGGGCTGGGCTCCCTGGGACGCATCTCCTTCCCCCGTCCCCCCCCCCCCCCCCCCCCCGAGTCCCCCCCCCCTCCCCCCCCCCCCCTCTCCAGGTGCAGAGAAGAGGCACAAGTGAAAGGGAGAGCTTTGCCTCGCCTGGCACACAGCCGGCCCTCCTCCAGAACCTCACAGCCCCACGCGCTCCTGCCCCTCCTCGGGGGCCAGCGTGCGAGGGGGAGGCGGGACCTAGGCACTGAGGGCCAGCAGTAATTCCCAGTGTTTAGACACCCGCTGAGGCAGAATGTAGTCCCTCAGTCACTGTGATTGGCTCAGGGGTAGACACATGACCTAGGCAGGGCCAATCAGATTCAGTCCTAGGATCTTATCTGTAGTAATGGGGGAAAGTCTGATCTCTCTCTCTCTCATCAGCAGCCATAAGACAGCAAACACCAGGACCTCCTAGTCGGCTGGTGGCCATCCTGCTGCCATGTGGGGAGAACCTGCCTGGAAATGCAGCCAACACAGAGGAATGGGGAGCTGGAGATCGGAGAGAGCTGGAGAGAGAGAGAGATAATTAGAGAGAGAGAGTCTGCACATGCATGCGCACACACACACACACACTCACATGCACACGCACACGCACGCACGGTGGCCTTTTTGGAACCCTCCAGGCCAGCCCCACCCCTTGTCGGTCTCAATCATGGAAGCTGATGCACCCCTTTTCCCGCCCAGCCTGTCTGGGGGGCTTCTGTCACTGCCCCCAGGGGCTGTGCTACTTCCTGCTCTCACGTGACCCTGGGCACCTAAGATAGTCTAACTCCTGCTTTCACTGAGGGTGGTTCTATGGCTCAGAGGGCCCCCGCCCAGAGCCCACAGCGGGGGCCACTCCTGGACCCGCCCAGGGCACAGCCAGCTGCCCACCGACGGCATCGGATAAGCGAGTGTTCAGTGACTCAGACTTCCTGGCTGTTGGGAGTTTTCAACTTCCCTTCGCTCTGGGCACCTGTGTGTCCACAGGGGACGGGCCACCTGCTCTTGGGCATTTGCAGGCATCGAGCTCACTGCCCCGTGTGCCCACAGCAGCCCAGCCCCAGACGCGCGGCCACGGGGCCCCTGCTACACGTGGGAACACGCCCGGGACAGTTGCTGTGTGCTGTGGGCGCTGGCGCTGGCTGCGCCGGGGAGCCGCTCAGACGGAGCCTGTGGGGACGGCGCAGCCTTGGCATCTGCTCGCGGTGGAAGTGAGCTTCTGGTCTGACGGGAGCAGCGGCCCTGCGCTCCCAGGCCAGCCG